TCGTCCGTCGTATGACGTATCTCGAAGATAAAAAAAAAAAGTAATCTACCTTTTCAACCGTGTCGTCTTCAACACGTTTCCAATACCGTAATACTGAAAGAGTAAAAGAGAAGAGGAAAAACAAAAAGTGGATGGAAAGGGAGTGAGAGATAAGTGTTCGATTAATGGTTGCGTTTCTCGTCAAGAAAAATCTCAGATTACTAGGTAAACCGATTCATCCTGAAGTTGGAGAAAAGTGTTAGACCGTGGTACAAAATTTCGTTTAAAAACAAGATTCAGCACTTAACGTCGGGCATCGTCATGCGTCGTAATCGGCCTGTTAGCGAATAACCAACACATACATACACATATGCACACACAAACACGCACAAAGAGAGAAAGAGAGAGAAAGAGAGAGTGGTTTTGGTAACCCAACAAAATTTATCTTTCGTACTAAACTTTGAAGATTTTCGCTTTTGAAACATTTCTCTTAAATACGAGTTGGCCAACCTCCTCACCCCTCTTTCATTCATCCTCCTCTTCTTTCTCCTTCTTCTTCTTCTTCTTCTTCTACTTCTACTTCTTCTTCTTCTTCTTTTCTTTTGTTAAATCTACTTTACCTTCGGTAATCTTAACGACTCAGTCGAGTAAACAATTTGTCTTCGTCTTTTAAGAACGAAATACGACGAGTTTGTAAAAGCGTTAAAAGACTAGTTCTATCTTAGTATTTGTCATTTCTTTTTTATTACAAACAGAAATAAAAAAAAGAGAAAGAAATTGAAGGATGTTCATGATTGATACAACACATATACGATGAAAACTACAACACTGATCGATCGATCAGATCAAATCGATTCAATTGATCGGAAAATTTGCATTAACAAACGTTTATTTTTTCTTCTTTTTCTAGGATTGAAAATGCACTAACAACGTAAATGCTTGTTGTTCCTTTTCTTTTTTTTATAAAAAATAACATAAATAAATTTGTAAACTAAACGATGCAGAAAATACCAATAACAAGTTTAATTTGAATATATTAAAAAAAAAAAAAAATTGAAGAAAATGAATAGAAAATATGAAAGTAATTGTAGATATGTGTATTTGCATAAAGTTGATCTTTCAAGATCGATAAATCGATCAATCGATCAATCGATCGATCGTACGAGGTAAAAGAACTATGATTAAAGAAAAGAAACAACGTTTAATCGTGAGATTGACGGTGATTAATTGAAGAAAATAGATAACAACTTAGCGTATTAAACTCAATCAGAATGTTTGATCCACGCGACCATATGTGTTATATATATATATATATATATACTAAGTTATTCTAATCATGCACGCGTAGCATGTGTTG